ACGCCAGTGTGGCATCAGTGTCGTGATGGCCGCGGGCGCGTGCGGTACGGCCGGCCGGGGCTCCTCCAGGTCCACCCACACGCTTAATGCTGCTCCCCATTACTTAACCCTCACCGGACGTTGGTTTTTCATTCATTTTCGCTCGCCTATCAAGCACAATAAGCTTGCCTCGACCGCACGCGCTCCGGGCGAACCATTTTGACACTCCGAACCCAATGTTACGAGTACGTCTTGAGAGTTGTAAGAGTGTGTTGCAAGGTGGCAACACTGTCGAGCCCGGCGCGCGGGGCCCTCGGCCCACTATGTGGTTTTCTAATGATCACGGTAAATTTTCTGTTGTGTGTATCCTTCCATTATCAGTGTCATTAGGAGAGTGAGGAGATAAGATCTTGGTGTGGCCCGAGTGTGGCCCAGCTGGGAAGGGGGGAGGGGTAGAGTGTGGCTGGCCCGGCCCGCCGCCGCCGCCTGCCACCACTCATGTAAGGTCAGTGAATCGTCGCCTGGCGATCACGCCTTCCTTGTGGCCTGTCCTGGGGTGGGCGGGGTGGGCGGCGCGGGCGGGGGAGCGGAAGGAACGCTCCCAGGTGGAGGAGGGAGGCAGGGCCCGCCAAACACACTCCGAAACTACGACGTTGGTACAACGTTCGAACAAGTTTTAACACTTCCTAACCAGTTATAACAACCAATATAGCAAGTTGTAACAACGTTCTAATACGTCATAAACACGTTAAGCCAAGATGTAACAGCTTTATTACAAGTTGTAACAAGCGGAAAATAGAGACAGTTTCGGTTTGTGTTTCCAGGGGGGGTGCTCCCCCCCCCCCCCCCCCGCCTTCCTTCCTCCCGCATATTACGTGTGTCTGGATAGAAGATGTCGACGTAGCGGTGGGAGACAGAGAGAGACGTGACCAAGGATAGTACTGGAGGGTGTGGCAGTGGAGGGTGTGGCAGTGGAGGGTGTGGCAGTGGATGGTGTGCCAGTGGATGGTGTGGCAGTGGAGGGTGTGGCAGTGGAGGGTGTGGCAGTGGATGGTGTGCCAGTGGATGGTGTGGCAGTGGAGGGTGTGGCAGTGGAGGGTGTGGCAGTGGAGGGTGTGGCAGTGGATGGTGTGGCAGTGGAGGGTGTGGCAGTGGAGGGTGTGGCAGTGGAGGGTGTGGCAGTGGAGGGTGTGGCAGTGGAGGGTGTGGCAGTGGAGGGTGTGGCAGTGGAGGGTGTGGTAGTGGAGGGATGAACACCAAGCCGGGAAAGATACTTTGGTTGTGGAAAAGGTCTTATCGAGTCGAAGAATCCGGTGGTATATGGTCACGACTGAGCTCGGCCTGATCATGGTACAGGGTGGGATAGGCGGCCCGGAGTCGGATATGAGGGATAGGCATGAGTGAAGTGGGTGGGTGGGGGCGTGGCAGCCAGGTCGCGGGTGGGGGTGGGCCAGCCAGGTCGCGGGTGGGGGTGGGCCAGCCAGGTCGCGGGTGGGGGTGGGCCAGGTCGCGGGTGGGGGCGGGCCAGGGTGGGGAGCCAGTGGGCGCCACATCTCCATACATCACTGCAGGTAATCACACACTCGCACCAATTAATTACTTCCCCCGCCTGCAGCGCCTCGACCCGGACCTGCTGCCTTCACCGTGGGAAACGTGCCAGCTGGGGGCCTGACAGCCGGTGCGAGGAGCCAGCTGGGGGCCTGACAGCCGGGTGCGAGGAGCCAGCTGGGGGCCTGACAGCCGGTGCGAGGAGCCAGCTGGGGGCCTGACAGCCGGTGCGAGGAGCCAGCTGGGGGCCTGACAGCCGGTGCGAGGAGCCAGCTGGGGGCCTGACAGCCGGTGCGAGGAGCCAGCTGGGGGCCTGACAGCCGGGTGCGAGGAGCCAGCTGGGGGCCTGACAGCCGGTGCGAGGAGCCAGCTGGGGGCCTGACAACCGGTGCGAGGAGCCAGCTGGGGGCCTGACACCCGGTGCGAGGAGCCAGCTGGGGGCCTGACAGCCGGTGCGAGGAGCCAGCTGGGGGCCTGACAGCCGGGTGCGAGCCAGCTGGGGGCCTGACAGCCGGTGCGAGGAGCCAGCTGGGGGCCTGACACCCGGTGCGAGGAGCCAGCTGGGGCCTGACAGCCGGTGCGAGGAGCCAGCTGGGGGCCTGACAGCCGGTGCGAGGATCCAGCTGGGGCCTGACAGCCGGTGCGAGGAGCCAGCTGGGGGCCTGACAGCCGGGTGCGAGGAGCCAGCTGGGGGCCTGACAGCCGGTGCGAGGAGCCATCTGGGGGCCTGACAACCGGTGCGAGGAGCCAGCTGGGGGCCTGACAGCCGGTGCGAGGAGCCAGCTGGGGGCCTGACAGCCGGTGCGAGGAGCCAGCTGGGGGCCTGACAGCCGGTGCGAGGAGCCAGCTGGGGGCCTGACAGCCGGTGCGAGGAGCCAGCTGGGGGCCTGACAGCCGGTGCGAGGAGCCAGCTGGGGGGCCTGACAGCCGGTGCGAGGAGCCAGCTGGGGGCCTGACAGCCGGGTGCGAGAGCCAGCTGGGGGTCCTGACAGCCGGGTGCGAGGAGCCAGCTGGGGGCCTGACACCGGTGCGAGGAGCCAGCTGAGGGCCTGACAGCCGTGCGAGGAGCCAGCTGGGGGCCTGACAGCCGGTGCGAGGAGCCAGCTGGGGCCTGACAGCCGGTTGCGAGGAGCCAGCTGGGGGCCTGACAGCCGGTGCGAGGAGCCAGCTGGGGGCCTGACAGCCGGTGCGAGGAGCCAGCTGGGGGCCTGACAGCCGGGTGCGAGGAGCCAGCTGGGGGCCTGACAGCCGGGTGCGAGGAGCCAGCTGGGGGCCTGACAGCCGGTGCGAGGAACCAGCTGGGGCCTGACAGCCGGTGCGAGGAGCCAGCTGGGGGCCTGACAGCCGGTGCGAGGAGCCAGCTGAGGGCCTGACAGCCGGTGCGAGGAGCCAGCTGGGGGCCTGACAGCCGGTGCGAGGAGCCAGCTGGGGGCCTGACAGCCGGTGCGAGGAGCCAGCTGGGGGCCTGACAGCCGGTGCGAGGAGCCAGCTGGGGGCCTGACAGCCGGTGCGAGGAGCCAGCTGGGGGCCTGACAGCCGGTGCGAGGAGCCAGCTGGGGGCCTGACAGCCGGTGAGCCAGCTGGGGGGCCTGACAGCCGGTGCGAGGAGCCAGCTGGGGGCCTGACAGCCGGTGCGAGGAGCCAGCTAGCAGTAGCGGCGGACGATGCAACCAGCCCAGCACCCCCATAGATAAATAATACTTAATAACAATAATAATAATGATAAATTTTGGGATATTTGTTTAATTTTTTGTTTATAAATGAACACTTGTCTTCAAATTTTGTAAACCAAGTCAAATTTAAATGTGAAATCTTGTATGAATAGAGTTACTGATTAGTTAGTATGGAAAAGAAAACTTCCCCCATGCAGAATATTACTGAAATGTGGGATTGAGGTTAACCTCGCGCGTCAGTACACCAAAATCATTCCATTTTCTAACCGACTAACAACTTGAACACACGACTCGTAATCAACACAATCAGAATGCCCAATAATTCTGCTCACAACCAAGTAAAATACCACTCGCCTCATTTCTTCGGCCAGAAGATGATCGGGTTCATCAGTCAACGTTTCTCTCTCAAATAAGACCATTTTCCTTGCCAAGCAGCGCGACAAGCCCAGTGTGGGCAGGGATGTGATCCCAGTGTGGGCAGGGATGTGATCCCAGTGTGGGCAGGGATGTGATCCCAGTGTGGGCAGGGATGTGATCCCAGTGTGGGCAGGGATGTGGTCCCAGTGTGGGCAGGGATGTGATCCCAGTGTGGGCTGTGATGTGATCCCAGTGTGGGCAGGGATGTGATCCCAGTGTGGGCAGTGATGTGATCCCAGTGTGGGCAGTGATGTGATCCCAGTGTGGGCAGGGATGTGATCCCAGTGTGGGCAGGGATGTGATCCCAGTGTGGGCAGGGTCCCAGTGTGGTCCCAGTGTGGGCAGGGATGTGGTCCCAGTGTGGGCAGGGATGTGGTCCCAGTGTGGGCAGGGATGTGATCCCAGTGTGGGCTGTGATGTGGTCCCAGCGTGGGCTGTGATGTGGTCCCAGCGTGGGCAGGGATGTGGTCCCAGTGTGGGCAGTGATGTGATCCCAGTGTGGGCAGTGATGTGATCCCTGTGTGGGCAGTGATGTGATCCCTGTGTGGGCAGGGATGTGATCCCAGTGTGGGCTGTGATGTGATCCCAGTGTGGGCAGGGATGTGGTCCCAGTGTGGGCAGGGATGTGGTCCCAGTGTGGGCAGGGATGTGGTCCCAGTGTGGGCAGGGATGTGATCCCAGTGTGGGCTGTGATGTGGTCCCAGCGTGGGCAGGGATGTGGTCCCAGTGTGGGCAGGGATGTGGTCCCAGTGTGGGCAGTGATGTGATCCCAGTGTGGGCTGTGATGTGGTCCCAGCGTGGGCAGGGATGTGGTCCCAGTGTGGGCAGAGATGTGATCCCAGTGTGGGCAGTGATGTGATCCCAGTGTGGGCAGTGATGTGATCCCTGTGTGGGCAGTGATGTGATCCCTGTGTGGGCAGTGATGTGATCCCAGTGTGGGCAGGGATGTGATCCCAGTGTGGGCAGCGATGTGATCCCAGTGTGGGCAGGGATGTGATCCCAGTGTGGGCAGTGATGTGATCCCTGTGTGGGCAGTGATGTGATCCCAGTGTGGGCTGTGATGTGATCCCAGTGTGGGCAGGGATGTGATCCCAGTGTGGGCAGGGATGTGATCCCAGTGTGGGCAGTGATGTGATCCCAGAGTGGGCAGTGATGTGATCCCAGTGTGGGCTGTGATGTGATCCCAGTGTGGGCAGGGATGTGATCCCAGTGTGGGCAGTGATGTGATCCCAGTGTGGGCAGGGATGTGATCCCAGTGTGGGCAGGGATGTGATCCCAGTGTGGGCAGTGATGTGATCCCAGTGTGGGCAGGGATGTGATCCCAGTGTGGGCAGTAATGTGATCCCAGTGTGGGCAGTGATGTGATCCCTGTGTGGGCAGTGATGTGATCCCAGTGTGGGCTGTGATGTGGTCCCAGCGTGGGCAGGGATGTGGTCCCAGTGTAGGCAAGGATGTGGTCCCAACAGTGCTGGTCAGTCCCAGGGAGAAGGCGGGGCGGGGAGCGGTGGGCGTGAGAGGCTGCTGAGGGCGCGTGACGGCCTGGGCGCGCCCACAGATCATCACCGATAATGGCCGCGACGCCCCGACCCCCGGCTGGCGGGAGTGTTGCTTCTCCAACTGCGGGGTATTGCTGAGTCTCTCCTGTAAGACCCCCCTTGTGACAGTCTCACAGGAGAGGGTCTCACCAAGAGGGGTCTTACAAGGGGGGGGTTCACAATTGGGGGGGATTACAAATGGGGGGGGGGGGTTCCTGATAACTAACACACACATACTGTCCGTGGGTTTAAATCCTCACTAAATGACACTTTCAGATCTTTCAAAGAATTAGTTTTCGCAAAGACACAGATAGCAGATATCTAGTACTGTAACTGTTTCATTGTCCTTGGTTTAGAGCCCTGTAGTTATCAGCAATGAACAATTTCTTTCCAATTAGAAATCTGTTCATGTTGTTCTGTTACGTTGATGATTTTGATTGTATTATCATTTTTATTTTTATTTCATCGGCAAATTTATTAATGTTGCTTTTTACTCTCGTATGTGAATCATTTATGCATAATGGCGAAGAACAAAGGTTCCAAAATAGCGCCCTGGGGCACTCCACACTCTGGCCCATCCTGACTTGCCTCTAGTAATCTGGCCCTCTGTTTCCTGCGCGATAACTTGGCCTGATACAGCTTAAGAAGTCCCATCCGATACCAGGTGCCTCTACGATGATGTGGCACTCATACCCCCGGGGGGGGGGGGAGGGTGTCATGGGAGGAGGGGCAGTAGCGAGCCTCGAGCGGCTGTTGAAGTGTTCCGACCACAAGTAAATGACTACTTTACTCTGTTATCGCCGGTGTCACTCCGTGGTGGAGAGGCCGCCAGCTGCTGGACCCCTGAGTGGCTGCGTGTTCCTTACTGACATGTGCCTCACCCGCTCAGCTCCAGATAACAGAAAACGCATATATTTTGTCCTTCAGAATGATAGCACATAATGCAGCTTCGGATAACATGTACACAAATGTGAACTGTTGCTCGGGAAAGGGCCCACGTTATGTAGCACGAACCTAATCCTCCTACGTTCTAGGTCTAGTATAGTTCATATATGTACTATATTAGACCTGAGCCTGGGTATTAGGAAGGACTGCTTATCTTCGTCCACTGACAGCTTACCGGAGGGTATTAGCTAAGCTGCGGCTATCTGGCTAGACCGTTTTAGACCTCCAGCGGTGCACAGGTTGACATCCCAGAGTGAAAAAGTTCTCAATCATTCATTCACTCTAGGCTACGGCCTAATAGAGGTCCAGCTTTAATGTCAATGTCTTAAACTATTTACATCTATCGCACATGTCGAACATACCGTTTAAACTTGAATTAATAACCATATGATGGGGTTTTACTTTTTTATTTAACGGAAGAATATTTGGTTGAGTTGGGGGTTCGTCTGGTCTGTTAGCTACAGGTGGCGGGGAGGACCCGTCCACCTCACTGCAGGAGGAATACAATCGTTCAGGTACACAATCACAGTAATGATTAAATTGTCAGGACAGCTGACAGCCCCAGGATGGTCTAGTATGTGCCTCACCCTACACACTGAGGGTCCCAGCATGGGGCTTCACCCTACACACTGAGGGTCCCAGCATGTGCCTCACCTTACACACTGAGGATCCCAGCATGTGCCTCACCCTACACACTGAGGGTCCCAGCATGGGTCCCTCACCCTACACACTGAGGGTCCCAGCATGGGGCCCTCACCCTACACACTGAGGGTCCCAGCATGGGTCCCTCACCCTACACACTGAGGGTCCCAGCATGGGGCCTCACCCTACACACTAAGGGTCCCAGCATGGGACCCTCACCCTACACACTGTGGGTCCCAGCATAAGACCCTCACCCTACACACTAAGGGTGATTGCAAAGAAGATTTGGGTAAAGCCGAGCCATAAGTTAGGCGCGGGTGCGGTTAACAAGGGCACAGGTCCGCCGGACAATATGGTCGACTCCCAGCCCGTACTGAGCGGGAAATTGATCTTTATACGAGAGTGAAGAGAAGCGCACTCATCGCCCCGCTGGCCATAATTCACACATCATTGATGGCGGGCGGTAAGTTCAGGCCCTCCACATGTTCCCGGTACAGCTGCACCACCCCCGGTACAGCTGCACCACCCCCGGTACAGCTGCACCACCACCGGTACAGCTGCACCACCACCGGTACAGCTGCACCACCCCCGGTACAGCTGCACCACCCCCGGTACAGCTGCACCACCACCGGTACAGCTGCACCACCCCCGGTACAGCTGCACCACCACCGGTACAGCTGCACTACCACCCGGTACAGTTGCACCACCCCCGGTACAGCTGCACCACCACCGGTACAACTGTTCCACCCCCCGGTACAGCTGCACCACCACCGATACAACTGTTCCACCCCCCGGTACAGCTGCACCACCCCCGGCACAGCTGCACCACCCCCCGGCACAGCTGCACCACCCCCCCTGGCACAGCTGCACCACCCCCCCGGTACAGCTGCACCACCCCCCGGTACAGCTGCACCACCCCCCGGTACAGCTGCACCACCCCCCGGTACAGCTGCACCACCCCCCGGTACAGCTGCACCACCCCCCGGCACAGCTGCACCACCCCCCGGTACAGCTGCACCACCCCCGGTACAGCTGCACCACCCCCGGTACAGCTGCACCACCCCCCGGTACAGCTGCACCACCCCCCGGTACAGCTGCACCACCCCCCGGTACAGCTGCACCACCCCCGGTACAGCTGCACCACCCCCCCCGAACAGCTACACCACCCCAGCTGTATTGTACCCCCCGGTACAATTACACCAAGTACACCAAGTACACCAAGCTCCTGTACAGCTGCAGTCACCGGCACAGCTGCTGCATGCTCCCAGAACAGCTACAGTCCCCCGATACAGTACAAACTTCCCTCCCCCCCCCCCCACCAGACGGTACAGACCCTCCCCCACTCTGCCCCCTCCCCCCCACCAGACGTTACAGACTCTCCCCCCTCCCCAACTCTGCCCCCTCCCCTCCCCCCCCACCAGACGGTACAGACTCTCCCCCCTCCCCAACTCTGCCCCCTCCCCCCCCCCACCAGATGGTACAGACTCTCCCCCCTCCCCAACTCTGCCCCCTCCCCTCCCCCCCCACCAGACGGTACAGACTCTCCCCCTCCCCAACTCTGACTCCCCCTCCCCCCCCACCAGACGGTACAGACTCTCCCCCTCCCCCCCCACCAGACGGTACAGACTCTCCCCCTCCCCCACTCTGCCCTCTCCCCCCACCAGACATTACAGACTCTCCCCCCTCCCCAACTCTGCCCCCTCCCCTCCCCCCCCCCCCACCAGACGGTACAGACTCTCCCCCCTCCCCAACTCTGCCCCCTCCCCCCCCACCAGATGGTACAGACTCTCCCCCTCCCCAACTCTGCCCCCTCCCCCCCCCCCCCCACCAGACGGTACAGACTCTCCCCCCTCCCCCCCCCCACCAGACGGTACAGACTCTCCCCCCTCCCCAACTCTGCCCCCTCCCCCCCCCCACCAGACGGTACAGACTCTCCCCCCTCCCCAACTCTGCCCCCTCCCCCCCACCAGATGGTACACAGACTCTCCCCCCTCCCCAACTCTGCCCCCTCCCCCCCCCACCAGACGGTACAGACTCTCCCCCCCTCCCCCCCCCACCAGACGGTACAGACTCTCCCCCTCCCCCCTCCCCAACTCTGCCCCCTCCCCCCCCCCACCAGACGGTACAGACTCTCCCCCTCCCCAACTCTGCCCCCTCCCTCCCCCCACCAGACGGTACAGACTGCTCTCCAAAATCGATCTCTGCGTGATGGCCGCCGGCTGATACCATCTGGGGGCGTTGTTTCTCCTGGTAATCAGCCCCCCCTCCCCCCTCACCCCCCTCTCCCCCCACCCACCCCCTCTTCACCCAACTCCCACCCACAACCTGGTCACGAACCTTCCCCCCCCACCCCCCACCACCCTCCCTCAGATCACACCCACACCATATTCCAACCCCCCCCTTCCCTCCCCCCACCATTCTATTTCCATCCCCCCCCCACTACATACACACCTATTCTACCCCCCCCCCCCCTTTTAGCTCGTTCGTCCCCCCTCCCCTCACCGGCGTTTGCCATTAGGAAAACAGGTTCGTGGTCAACCTCAGGTCACTATCAGGGATGGTGTCACAAACATGGTGTGGTCACTATCAGGGATGGTGTCACCAACATGGTGTGGTCACTATCAGGGATGGTGTCACAAACATCGTGTGGTCACTATCAGGATGGTGTCACAAACATCGTGTGGTAACTATCAGGGATGGTGTCACAAACATCGTGTGGTCACTATCAGGGATGGTGTCACAAACATCGTGTGGTCACTATCAGGGATGGTGTTCCAAACATGGTGTGGTCACTATCAGGGATGGTGTCACAAACATCGTGTGGTCACTATCGGGATAGTGTCACAAACATCGTGTGGTCACTATCAGGGATGGTGTCACAAACATGGTGTGGTCACTATCAGGGATGGTGTCACAAACATGTGTGGTCACTATCGGGGATGGTGTCACAAACATGGTGTGGTCACTATCAGGGATGGTGTTACAAACTCGTGTGGTCACTATCAGGGATGGTGTCACAAACATGGTGTGGTCACTATCAGGGATGGTGTCACAAACATCGTGTGTCACTATCAGGATGGTGTCACAAACATGGTGTGGTCACTATCAGGGATGGTGTCACAAACATGGTGTTGGTCTATCAGGGATGGTGTCACAAACAGTCGTGGTCACTATCAGGGATGGTGTCACAAACATCGTGTGGTCACTATCAGGGATGGTGTCACAAACATCGTGTGGTCACTATCAGGGATGGTGTCACAAACATCGTGTGGTCACTATCAGGGATGGTGTCACAAACATCGTGTGGTAACTATCAGGGATGGTGTCACAAACATCGTGTGGTCACTATCAGGGATGGTGTCACAAACATCGTGTGGTCACTATCAGGGATGGTGTTACAAACATCGTGTGGTCACTATCAGGGATGGTGTCACAAACATCGTGTGGTCACTATCGGGGATAGTGTCACAAACATCGTGTGGTCACTATCAGGGATGGTGTT